AGCCCTAAATGGATTTTTTGTGTCTAATTAGCCATTATGTATGTGTTGACTTTTGCCTCAAACCCTGTTAGCCGGTTTCCCCGGTTTCAGCCGGTTACCCCTTTACAAATAAGGGTTTTACCGTTAGAAACCCATCTTCCATCTCCTACTTCTACATTCTCCGACTTCTTCTTCCACGCATCTAACTTCTTCATGGCTAGTTCATCTACAGGGTCTACAGGGTCAATGACTTCAGGATTTCAAAATGTTAATGTCAATTTCAGGAACAGAAACAACCCCATGGTTTTGTGTCGTTGTGGTGTTGAGGCTAGCTTCTCAATTTCATGGACGGACAAGAATCCTGGAAGAAAATTTAGGGGATGCACCAACTACAAGGTATGTTCTTCACTCTTTGATCCAGTATAGAGTTTTGTTATGGGACTAAGGGCAAATTTGTCATAAAAATGTGTAGTATAAAGTTTTTGAATGGGACTAAGGGCAAATCTATCATAAAAATGTGCACATTTGTTCTTCACTCTTTGATCCAGTATAGAGTTTTGTTATGGGACTAAGGGCAAATTTGTCATAAAAATGTGCATTATAAAGTTTTGTTATGGGACTAAGGGCAAATCTGTCATAAAAATGTGCAGGATCCTTCCAGGTATTGTAAGTTCTTCATGTGGTTGGACCCACCTTTGCCTAGTGAAGATTACAAAAACCTCATGTACCAAATGCATTTAGCTCTGGTTGGGATGGTTGATGCAATGCTCGGTTGGAACAGGTGAATGTGGATCAAAATAGGAGGTTGATGTTGATGATGAAGCTTATGTTTATCATGGTCATGCTATTTGCAGTGATGTTGGTAACAGGGACTGTATTGCTGGTGAGATTATAGGAAGTTAGGAAGTTAAGTTTAGTCTTTTTGTGAAGTTGTTGGTTAGGTGAAATTGTATTAGATGCTTATTTTGGCACAGTTGTAATAGCATCTGAAAACATTTTGATGGTTGTAATATGGATACCCTTGTAATACATAGTCCTACGGGACAATTAATATGAAAAGCATTAACCAGAAATTGACAATTTACTATCCATTACAAACTGACATAGAAATTTGAACTTACTACAAACCACAATCTTTATAAACATAATAGCCAAATACATACATGGAGGGTAACAATCAGAACCAAACTTCCAATTTTACAACAATGTTTACAAGCCAAAAGATGATTTCCAAAAATGACAATGTTACTAAAATTTACAGTCAAAAGATAACATGTTGTCAACAAATTGGAAGCTTGTTACCAAAAGATGCTTTCACAAAAAAGGGCTATCAAAAGATTTATGCCCAATTAACCCCCCGTCCATAACAACATCAGTCCAATGTAAGTGCTTTCTTAATTGTTGAACCACCTCCATCTGGATCATGCACTGCTTTTTTCAACTTAATCTTGATAATTCTTTCTGAGGGCTTCCTTTTTTTACCAACGGATCTTGTGTTTCTTGACTGGTCTCTTCATCAACTATACTCTCAGCCAACATCTCCTTCCTCTCTTTTGTCAACTGTGAATAAGAAATTAACATAAACATATTATCATATAATGTTCAAGAAAATTGTGTTAATAATTAAATTTATAACTACACACCTTATTAAAAGCTTCAACAATTTCCCCATGATCATATCCAGATGCCTGCAGATCTTTAATAGTTTCAAAATCTTCATGGTCAACACCTGCCACATTTTGACTTATACTACCATGCACAACCCCTATTCTCCCTACATATTTGATCTTACCTCCCCTCCTTGCCATCATCTTCATTCTCTTCAAAGGAGAAATTGACTGATCAACATCTATCATCTTACCTGCTTCTTTTGATGTGCCCTCAACAACTTTCATCTTTCCCTCACTTGCTTCTTTTGATGTGTGATCAACAACTTTATTATGTCCTTCATTTACTTCTTTTGATGTGTCCTCAACAACTTTCTTCTTTCCCTTATCTACTTTCCTTGGTGTCTTTGCAATGTTCACAACTAAATTCCCTCCCCCATCTCCCTTTGGTCTACCATTTTTCCTTTTAGGGACAGGGTCACTTGGACCTTCTCCATTCTTACAAGACAGCTTATTATGACCAAGTTCCCTACATTTCCCACACCTAACAGTCCTGCTAACCTTTGCCTTTTGAGTAGGGAACTTAGAATCCTGACATTCTGAGGCATGTCTTCTTCTCTTTGTTTTTGGCCTTCCAGGCATTCTCCTAACAAGGGGTGGTAAGGGCTTCAAATATTCAGTACAGGGCCACATATTACTTCCATTAACAGGTAAGATGTTGTCCCTGTATGTCTCTATGAACTTGTCCTTATGGAACCAAAAGGAAATAAAATCAGTTGGATCTCTATGTGTGAAATTGATTGCAGCTTGAGCATGAACACATGGTAACCCTGATATCTCCCATAATCTGCATGAACAAGAATGAGCATCTAAATCCACCTTGTAAGCTGAATATCCATGCCTTGTCTCAAATAATGCCCCTCCACTTGGTATTACTATCCAGAACCTAAAATTATAAGTAATTAGTAATGTAAATGTATAGACTTAAGATCACAATTAAAATCAAATAAGCATACCTCATATGCTTTCCAAACTCCTTAATCTTCTCTAAGGTGTTTGGGCCATAGTCACCTTTCCATTGAGAAACTATAGCAGCTTGATGATAAAACCTATTCATCAAATAAATCCTGATTTCTTCAAGCATTGTTAGAATTGGTTTTTTTCTCATGTGAATGATCATCGAGTTAAAACACTCTGATATGCCATTCTCTATAGCCTCACAAGCATATCCATGAGAGAAAAATGCCCTACACCAAGAATGTGGTTTGTTTGACATCAGCCATTCATAACCACTGGGAGTTATGTCTTTGATTTTCTTCATTGTTGCTATAAAGTCCCCCTCCACAGTACTGTTGGCAGCTTCCCAAAACAGGTTCTTGAGCTCTAACCCAGTGTATTTCTTCCTGAAGTTTGCATAGATGTGCCTGGCACATTATCTATGTTCAGCATATGGAAGTAGTTCTGTAACAGCTTGTAGTAAACCCTGGCATTGAATAAACAAAATTATTATCAATGTATAATAATTAAACAAATTTATAGTATAATTTACCTTGCGCTGATCAGAAATAACCACAAGACCCCTACCACAGTCAAGGTCAAGATCAGCAACTAACAACTCAATAAACCAAGTCCAATTATCTTTGTTCTCTACATCGATCACTGCCCATGCTATTGGATATACATGATTGTCTGCATCTCTTCCAATAGCAGTCAAAAGTTCTCCCTTGATCTGACCCTTTAGGAAACAACCATCCAAACGTATCACACGTCTGCAACCCCTATTCCAACCATCCTTAAAAGCCTTTAAACACACATAAAACCTTTTGAAATAGTTCATGCCACTTGCATTAGAATCTACTCCCACCTTACAAGTGCTCCCTGGGTTAGACCTGAGGATTTCTGCAGCATAGTCCCATACCTTTGCATAATGTTCTTCTAACTTACCTTCTATCATCTCTCTTGCCTTTGTCCTAGCCCTGTGACATTGCCCCTTGGATACATTTACTGAAAACATCCTAAGTACATCTTCCTTCATCTCAGTTAATGTCATCTTTGGCTTCATAACAATATCCTTCAAGTAATGTTTGGCCAACCAGTTACAACTAACCAAAGTTCCAAAATTAAAATTTCTGGCACATAGATGTATGTCAATATAGATTTAATCTGAAATGTTCGTTCATTATACTTCCAAGCAGCATAAACTCTAAAGGGACATGGGTCTTTTTTATATATTTTCCCACACCTAGCAATCACTCTATGCCTATCACTCTTCATAAACCACAACTGATATCCATTAGCTACCGCATAGTTAGTTAATGCAAACCTGAGTTGAGCAGGGGACTCGTAACACTCTCCCACTACCAACTTCATTTGTTTCCAATGTATGTCTGGATCATGAACCGTGTACTCTACACCTACTTCACCGTCATTTTGATCATCAATATGATCATGTTCTGGATCCTTAACACCAACTTCATGATCATCATCTCCCATTCCATCAAGAGTCCTCCTTAGCATATTTTCATCACATAACATGTTAAGAAATGGGTCATCAGACAGGTTTGAGGTCGGTTTAAAGGTCTCTGGTGCAAAATCCAGGAAAGAGAAATCTATGAGATCATCATCAGAGTCCTCGTCCCTTACATAAACCTTTTCAGGCCCTTTCAGCTTTTTAGTTCCAGATGATGAAGCCATCTGTTCAAAATGAAAAATTATACTTGTAAGTGACACTATGGAACTCGATTATGTAAGATAAGAACACACATACACATCAATTTCTTATTGGCACCCCACGTACCTTTCTACTTTAGTGATTATCAACTTCAAAATAGAAGCTTTTTTGCATGCAACAATGGTGTAAGAAACCCTTTTCAAACCCTTCTTCTTCGTAATACCAACTACAAGAAACCCTTTTTTTGATGCAAGACGTTTCTGTGAAAGGTGATATTAGGTGGTATACGAACTATCAAGTAGTATAGGAGAGTGGTGATCGGCTGCGTACCTTGACCGGCTGTTAACCGGATGATAACACGATTTTGAAACGGGGTCACAATTATTTAGGCTAATTAGACACAAAAAATTCATTTAGGGATAATTTAGAATAACAATGTAAAACTTATGGATTTTTTGGTATTAACCCTAAGGATAATGAGAAACATGAGTAGGCTAATAGGACTTAGTCAAAATACATACTCAGATAAGGTACTAAACGTTTTAGTATGGAGAATTCCAAGAATGGAGAGTTGTCGATCGAAAGCAATAGCAAGTTAAGTAAGACTCAAAGACCGAGTACTGAAGCCGAGATGGAAAAGATGAGTCGAGTACCTTACCTTACACTTTTACTCACCCTGATGTGGCCTTTGCTTTGAACATGGTCAGCAGATATCAAGGGAACCCTGGTAGAGTGCATTAGACAGCAATCAAGAATATTCTTAAGTACATTCGAAGGACCAAAGAATGGTTTCTTATCCTCGATGGGAGTGATGACTTAAGGGTATGAGGGTAAAGTGATGCCAGTTTTCAGACCGACCGAGACAACTTCCGCTCTCAGTCGGGCTGGGTCATTACCCTGAATGGAAGAGTAGTAACTTGGAAAAGATCGAAGCAAGAGACCGTGGCTGATTCAACGTGCGAATCAGAGTACATAGCAGCGAGTGAAGCATCGAAGGAGGCAATATGGTTGAAAAAATTCATCGAAGATCTTGGAGTTGTACCAGCCATTAAGGACCCTATAGAAATTTTCTGTGATAACGAAGGTGCGGTTGCCTTAACCAAGGAACCGAGGGATGATGGTAGATCCAGGCACATCGACAGAAAATATCACTTTATTAGACATCGGGTAGAAGAGGGACTCCTCATAGTAAAGAAGGTTTCATCATAAGAGAACCTAGCAGATCCCTTTACGAAGGGACTGAGTAGGGTTAAGCACTTGCAGCATGTTAGGAGCATTGGGCTAAAGGATGATATAAGTTTTAGTGATCAGATAGTTTTGAAATGCGTAATAGATAAATTGTAATTAACATTTGATGATTAAATAAAGGAGTATTATTTATAAGTCAAGTTGTTGTCTTGTGTTAATTAGTTACCTATTGTTTCACTTTGCATGTTTTGACATCTTGAATAATAAGATTATTTGAACAGTCCACATTTATTCATAAGTTGGAAGTGGATATGAAAGAAGACTGTCATGAATTGGTTTGTAGAGTGTCTAAAGTGTATTAGACATAGCAAAACTTTGCTGCAATGTTCATGAGTGCTTATGAAATAAGATTTGAGCATTGGATTAAACCCACGCTTACTTGTATCACTTCATGGAATTTATCATGAGTGATCGTAAGACGATAATATCATATAGTCATTAAACCTAGATATATGGTTTATTGTTTGCGAGTTGTTTATGCAGTAATAATGTGTAAACGCATCAGTAACTTGATGTTATAATACACATTGTTGTGTATGATTTGATAAGTGAATAGTAAATACATATAAGTCGAAGTTTATTTGTTCCTTTTATCCTAAGAGGGTAAAAGTGATATCTGAGCCCCTCGATGATTTGGTTTGACTTATGTGTCGGGCCCGGTCAAGGCTAAGTTGATGTGTTCAATTAAGTTCTATGTCAGAAAAATCAGTGATCGAGAAACAAACTGCAGGACAATAAGTATGACTATGTTCCATGTAAATGTACACACAATATCTTGAGAATGGAGGACTATGCGATCAGTTATCTAAAGGACGAGTTAGAGTTCGACAGCGGCTTTTTGAGAGCTACGATTGCTAATCGGATTTTGAAGCCATACTTGCATCTATAGTTACTAGATTTATCCAAGTGGGAGAATTTTGGATTAGTTTCTAAGTCCATAACTATATTTGGTATGTACTTGATGCGGTTGTAGCAGGGTCCTTTTGGGTTGCCTTTACTGAAGCAACTTGACTGGATGATTAGTGGAGAAAGAGGATATTATGGTTTATTAATATATTATATGAATAATATATTAAAAGAGAAATCATATTGATTAACTAATATTGGTCAAGAATTAATTAATAAATTAATTATGTGATCAAAAGATATTAATTAAACTTAGGGGACTGGAATTGCAGTTATAAGATAATTGGATTTTGGGTTGTGGATCGTATGGATGAAGGGGTGGACGAAATTAGGGTGGATGCCCACCTTGAAATCATTCAAGGCCTTATTCTAGAAGGTTTCATTGGACTGCTTAAGGCCTAAGCTATCCAATTAGGGTTTTGACTGAAACCCTAGCAGCACCACTATATAAGGACCCCTAGGGCTTAAGAAAGTGGCTAGACACCCTAAGAAGTCTTAGAGCCAATTTTGATCCTCTCATCCCCTCTCTCCAAGATAATACAATTTTCTTTGGTGTTTGTGATCCATTAAAGGCATCAAATTTAAGGTGCTAGGTTCTCATAAGCTAAAGATCTTCAAGCAACAATCAAGGTAACATTCTTATTGGTTATTTATGTTATTTTAAAGTTTTTTTGTATGCTAGATTAGGGTTTGTAAGCTTTGGATAATTTTCATGTACAATAGAGAAACCTAGATCCAAAGCTTTAGGGTTTGCATGTGCACCATAGGATTGATGTATTGCTCAAAACCCATCAAATGGTTCTGGGAGGCGATTTCAGAAAAGTTTTGCCAGTCGTAAGACGTGGAACATGGGCACAAATTGTAGTCTCTAGCCTACGAATGTCGCCTCTTTGGTCTTCGATTATAAAGTTGCGATTAACAATGAATATGAGAGCACTTACTGATCCATGGTTCTTAAACTTTCTATTACGAGCCGGCGACGGAGTTGAAGAAACATTGGATGGAAGCTTTATTCGCATCCCTGATCATATGTTCATTCCATACATTGATAAATCATTGGATTCTTTGACTGATGCAGTGTTTCCCTACCTTGGAATTCATGTAACATCCCCATTTTCACGGCCAGAAAAAGACTGATTTCGTTTATACTTTTATAATAAAAATAGAGTAATCTTTCAAAAACTAATGCGAAATTTGTCCCAAAAACAAAATACGATAAAAATTTATGAAAACATTTCTTAAATAAATGCCTATTTCATTTCATTAGAAAACTCGGGATGTCAACATCGATACAGAACAAAAGCATAAACATTACAATATAGGCCTTACAAAATTTATTTGCATCCACTGGCGTATATTCCAAAAATCCCTCGTCATGATCCAACTATGCTCTGGTTCCACTACTTGTAATACAGAAAGCTGAGTGGGTCAGGCTTGGGAGCCTGGTGAGTATATCGGGTTTTCAACCCACAAATAATAAATTTATTAATTTCATCAACCAACAATAAATTTATTAATTTCATCAACCAACAATAACCCTGATTACCCATTCCGTTATCCTCACTTTATGTCCCTAAATACCTATCACAAGGGACCTAGCCTAAGGATTATCATCGGGATGGGCAATACTGCTAAGGGGATTCCTCAGCCATATGTGTCCAAGGAAACCATGAGGGGGATGGAGTACACCAATGAACACATCGTTCACAAACACCTACAGATTTCGAGCATGCCATCGTTCCACTGGACTGTCTAGAAAGGTCCGTGGTCGTCATCTATACTCGCTAGATGACTGGAACAACAACATCGAGGCATTCCATCATTTTATCACACATCAACTATTTCATCTACCCATGGTTTACCCAACATATTTGTAGATAAAAATACATATACAGTTTAAAACCTATATAAAAGATCCATTCAACACCCATCTCAAATAAACAAACAATATATAAACACATAGCACGTATTTTATAGAAAATACTTCATATCTATGTGTAAGATGAAAGTGACTATACACTCACATGATAAGATGATGATTGTACATCACTTCGTCCCTTAAAACAATCTTTTTTCGATGAAACCGGGATGTTTCCTCGAAAACCAGGCATTACGCGGACAGAGTTTCGACTCAAAAACTCTTTTTCTAGGAGACTTCGAGCTCTCTGGGGCTTTCTTATGATGCTAGGAAGGTATTCTAGGTTTGGGGGTATTTATTGCAGCTTAAAAGAAAGTAGAAGGTGTAAAGGAGTAAAATTTGTAAACAAAAATCGGAAGGCCTCACATTCTATTTATAGTGGTCGAAGCCTGGCATTACGCTGGGCGTAACTTCCTGGTACACAGCGCGTACTGCCTTGCAAGGCTCTACACTAGGCGTAGACCGAGTACGCTGGGTGTAGGAGCGGATCACTTCATACACGTCACAACTACAAACACGTGCGCATCATGCGAAGGAATAGGGCGATGTGGCCAACTTCAGACCGTGTACACGAGTACGTTGGGCGTACTCCTGTACACTAAGCGTACTCCCCTGATTTTTATTTTTCAAACTTCAAAAATTCATAACTTTCGCATACAAGCTTCATTTTCGACGCTCTTTATATGAACACATAGGTAAGACCGTGCTCTATAGCTTTCGTTTAGACTCCGTCGGCTAATTTTGAATTTATTTTTAAAGTTATATTTTTAACAGGTTAGGACATGAAAAGTCTGTTAAAAATTCATAACTTATTCATCTGATGTCCGTTTTTGTCTGTCTTTTTACCATTGAACTACTATTGACAATATCTTCGATTCTCATTTAGGTTGTGTCAGCTAAAAAGCACTCGATCTATAATTTGAATTTCGGGTTGCATACTGTTATGCCAAA